GAGTCGGCATTACGGCCCAAGTCGAGTGCATTATGGATCTGCAGCTGGGGCAACGGCAACTCTTTCGGCGCAAGAAAGAGCTGAATGCGAGTGTGGCACATAATTTTAATTGCAGACTGCGGCGGGCAGGTGGGCTGCAAGGGCAGGGAAATCTATCTAAACTTTTGCCGGCATTTGTTATTGTTGCAGCGACTGCACAAAGTTTTTGCCACCGTAAAAGTTTTCCCAACTCTTCGGCACACCGCCCATCGTCAAAAAGAGGAAACTTTCTGCGGAAAGTGGCGGTGGCTGCAACGCAGAGCAGATGAATATCAAATGCAAGTTGCTGGCTAAAGTCTTAGGGGCGGCTTAAAGCACTTTAAGTTGCCAAATGTCAAAGATTGCGCATACGCAGAGGTTAAATGTCAAGTTCATTGCATCCACATTCACATTCAAATCACTAACCATGTTCACATACATCCCACGGGTTTATTCACATCCGCTTTCTGCTTGGAATGCTGCCAAAATGTCCGACCGTCCAGGTATGGGTCAAGTGCTCTGCTCTTTGACCTCCAAAAATGAAGAAACACTCTCTTTTTGTTTGAGAATCCCATTAGATGGAGTGGTGCCAAATGCTTTGCATCTATCCAAATATTTGCTGGTAATTTGCCTATGCAGCCCAAGCCAAAGCCAAGTAGATCCTGGCGCGTAAGCGAAAAAACAAATTGTGATTAAAATTGTGTGTGTTTTTATGATACATTGAGGCGTGACTGGGGCTGAGCGCGCCATTAAATTACGGCCTCGAATTTGGCCCCGACTCTGAGCCTCGAACGTATAAATTAGCACGCCAAGCGTTGGTGGCAATAAAACGATTTTCGGGGGCATACGTTACGTATACATTGCGTTATACGCAATGCTGGCCAAGCACAAAGGCAGCTCAGACCCGAAAGTAGGCTACAAAATGACACGCGCCTGGAGCGAAAACAGAAGGAGGGAGAGAGATGCTGGCAGCACACACCGACAGTGCGTAGGATGAAACGGAGGGAATTTGCAGAAAGTCGTGAAGAAAAGTAAACACAGGAAGGCGCCAAAGTTATAAAAATGACAAAATATATATCTCAAGTAGAGCCAGAAGGTTGGAGGGAAAGCAGAAGGGCAAGTGGACAAACAACTGTTGATAGTTCGGGGTTCTAGGGAGTCAGGAGCCAGGAGCCAGGGCCACCGTCAATCTCTGCTGAGCACTGACTAAAGCCGATCTAGCGGAATTCAATTCAAACAAAGGCAGAACTACCATACATCCATCCGTCCATCGATCAATCAATCAATCAATCACTCTAAGCCAGTCAATGTCAGTGCCAAATGTCGAAAATGGAAAGCGACCGATTTGCGCTCTGCCTGGCATTCAACATGCAATTTATGCGACTTGTTGACATTCATCGCCTGACTTTTTCGACTTAAATATTTGCCCAAAAGTTCGGCACCAACTCTGCAAAGCCAAACAAATTGTGTGCAAACAGATTTTAAAGAGGGCTCAAAGGATTGCCAATTGAATATAAATGCCATACATACATAATGCATACAGGGGATTAGCCAAAAAATATGCCAACAAATTGAGGAGCTGTAAAAAAAATATATAATAAAATATATATAATATAATATATATAATCAGATGAAATGTTGGATATTAAAGATTTCACTTGGCATATAATATTTATTAAACCAAACTTGAAATTCTGAAACATCGTTAGAAATTATTCATTCAATAATTCAATATTTTCTGTGGCTTCCATAAAAATGATAATCAAAAGTAGAACAATTTCCATTTAAGCAGCATGGCTGAAATGTTGAAAAGTGCCTCGAAGTATGATTATTCAGCTACATTGCCTTGCTATTAAATTACGATAGCCCAAGCCCATGGGAAGGGAATAAATTGGCCCTCGAGGGGGAATAAATGAAAGGAAATAATGTTAATATATCTTAAAGTATTTCATTTGAATTTGATGTAACGACCTCTTTAATGGGCTTTCTCGAATCAAATATATGAGAGTGTAGAAAATATGTACGAAAGTATTTAAATTATTTGGCCTTAAAATAAACAAAACCTATAAATATTCATTCTTAAATACGTTTTAATAGGAAGAACCTATTACACATCAATGTTTTTATTTCCCAGCAAATATTTAACTTAGAATTTCTCTTCCATTAAATATGTAAACCTAAGCCAAATGTCAAACAAACCCCACATACAATGGCGTACAAACCAATAACATTACAAATTTACGTTCAACATTCGATTGCTGGCAAATATTTGCTTAATGCTCATTTATGTTATTTTTAAATTGAATAAATTCAGTTCCAGGTGAACTTTTTCCTGCACTTTCAATTTGTTTGCACAAAAATTGTAATTGTTTGTTGCTGCTATTGGCATTGATGGTTGTTGTATGTTTGTTTAAATGAATTTTCCTACTTTTTTGTCGATTTGTTGGTTTTTTGTGTGGGGCAAATAATTGAATTTCGAAAGCAATTACGAGAAATCTGTTTATTTAAGCAACAAATAAGCAGCCAGTCGAGCAAATGGATCAGGCAGCAGGGGAGTTTGCTCTTTCACTGGATATCCTTCTCTCAATATCTGTGGGGTAGTCTGGTGTATTTTTTCGTGCAGCGATTATGGTAATGAAAGGGCAAATTCAGCTTGGCTTTGCTCTTAAGAGACCGTTTGGTATGCCTGTCACGTAGCCATCTAACATGAATCTGGCTAATACAATTAGAAGCAGAAAAACAAGGAACGAGAGAGAGGAAATCATAGGGAAAGAAACAGATGGAGAGACCGCAGCCCTAGAATTCGGTTTCGGTCCTACAAATGTTTCAATTAAAATTCGCACGAAATCAAATGCTCGAAAAAGGCGCGTAACCTTTGAAAGTTCGTTCTCGGCGCAGTCAACGACAGCAAAAGGATTTTCACAATGATTGCAGGACAAAAGGAACTCGGCAAAGCCGGAAAAGCACCAATAGTCGCAATGGCAATCGCAGTCGCATGGCCTCAAGCCAATCGAAGATGAACAAAAGAAGCGCAGAACAAGTGGGCAGAAAAACAGGAAGCCAGATTACGGCGAAGTGAAAGCGAAAGTATGAGCGGCATTAAGGGTATCTTAATTATGCCCCAAAACCGAATCCCAAGCACTAACCCAACAGTGGCTGAACTTCTCGGAAAGATAATGCCGCAAGTAAAGGAGTGTCTGAAAGTTCTCAGAAAAATGATCACTTAAGGAGCAGTACAAGCATGTCCTTAAAGTATTTTTCCAATGCTTTGCTATTGGGGTAGTGTAATTCCTGATTTATTTCAATCAATACTGAATCTGCTCGACTTCAGGCCACAAAAGGTTAAGGTTTGGGTTTGCCTATTTATCATGTAATTCCCCGAATTTTTTTCCCTGTTGAGGGTTTAGCGTGCCACAAAAATGCCAAAGTCAAAGTCAATGGCTGTACTGCGCTATGCCCCAAAAAAAGAGCAAAAAATACGCAAATGGAAAGTGGAGCAGCGTCGAGAGGTGGCTGGCGAGGGTGGCATATCGATGGTTCCACTCGTGTGGGGCGATACATTTCAAGCCTTTACCCGGGGTGTAGCTGCGGCATGCCCCTGGAAGGAGACTATGCGACACGTGCGCGTGGCAGGGCGCCAAAGTCGAATTGATTGCGTGCCAGTTGCGTGCCAGTTGCGCAATTTTAAAGGCGTTCTGCAGGCGGATCAAGGGCGTGCCAGTCGATAACAAATGCCATTTGGCGTATTGTAATTAAAATGACGAAAGCAGGCAACTTTTAATAAACTGCCAAAATAAATACGAAAAGGAGCGAGAATCGAATAAACAAAGGATGAAAAGTTGTAAGAGGATTGCCAGGAACAGAGCTGCAAAAAAGGCAACATAAGTACTTTGTATTAATAACAGCACCAGCAGGGATGAAGGGAGAAAATGGAGGAGCTCTGTGGCATCCTCAAATAAGTGGAATTGAAACTCGAGTGGCAAGAAAGGGAAAACAAAAGCAGAAACAGAAACAGCAACAGAACCAGAACCCCAAGCAGAAAACACATCCCCAAAAACCCCGAAGCAATACTCAGACAGCATAATTTTTCATTAAGCCGCGAAGAGCAAACTGTTTACATTTGTTGTACTTTAGCAAAGACAGAATTCCCCGCCAAAGGAAGAAGGTGAATGCCACACCGCGGGGCCTGGGGCCCGGGACCAGGCAACAAGCTCATTTCGCCTGGAGCAGCTCCTCTATCAGCCGCACTCTTCAAGGCTGAATCTGTTACCTGTTACCTGTTTGCAGGTGCGGCTCATTAAATCATTCGGTAATCAGAGCTGAAGCCCCCATCAGAGCTGCTTCACGGTTAACCTTTCGACTGAGATTGTTTCGCGTAAAATACACTGCCAGAGAGGGCATTGGGATTGATCGAAATAAACAGCCGCTTGGCGGTTGGAAAATAAGTTAACTATATATCTGCAAGGGTAGCTGCAAAGGTACCCAAAAATATCCTGCCATTCTTGCTGCCTTTGTTCCTCCTGCGCGAGTGTCAATCACAGTTGGCTTAATTAACATTGTTGAGCCGAGCAGAGCAGAGCACCGAGCTGTACAGATTTACCCGCATAAATTCAAATCAGTCTGGAAACTTTTCAGGGGGTGTCCCATAAAGAAGTTGAAGCCAACTAAACATTGCACGCATATATACACGCATATATGTATGTATTGTACTACAAAGCAAGCACAAATAACGATGGGGTTGGAGTGGTAATGCCATTTGGTTTAGCCATAACAATAATCATTTTGGATGATTTACGACTGCAGTTGGCAGCTCCGCCGTTCAATGGCAATAAATTCCCATCAATAAATCAAATGTAAAGCTTTTTTGCTCGTCCAATGTGAGGGCGCCGCGATGTATGCAACGTTTTTTTCTCCTCTTCCTGTCCTGAAGCCAGTGTAAATGTAGGTATAGCTAGTGTGTGTGTGTGGGTGTGTGGGTGTGTGTGGTGTTGTGGGTGTGGCAAGTGACATGTGTCACTCCATAATAATCGCATTTGCATGGATCCCAAACGATTGCAAAACTGTCATGAATAACCAAACAGGAAGCTTGGACAGAAAGCTTTTTGGGTGCAGCAGGGCGGGAGGGGGCTAAGAGACCTTAGACCTAATCACGTCTTGGGCATCGTTTGTGGTTTTGAGGGGGACTCTTAAGGCTAGATACGATTAAGTATACGCATAGTTGATTGCTTTGTCTCTGGGACGCGCTGATAATACTTACAGGTTTCCATTTTGCTTTCGATTTTCTTTTGGGGCGGGACGGGGTGCTGGGGCTTGTTTTTGGATGTTGGGAGGGACTCGGGATTGCTTTGGTTTCGTGTGAGAGATCGAGTTGGTGCTGTAGGAACCCAGTTAGTGGCTTAGAGCAGCTCCGTTTCCATTTGGGCGGCCTCGACGGTCTCCACAATGGTGGCCGTTGGCGCCGTGACCGAATCTCATGGAACATAGCGCGTGGTCAGTGCTCCGTCGTCGTCATCGTCCACCCGGAGGCCGCCACAGCCGCAGCCGTAGCAGCACGGCAGCCAGTTGGCTCCGCTGTAGCCGCCTTTTGGTCAAATCGCAGAGACCTGCTCGAGCTCGGCACTGGAGCGGCCCGAGTTCATCACGACCACATTCTTGGCCGCATAGTCGGTGATGAAGCGGTCGCTGTTACGCGGATGAATGTTGCCCACGTCCTGGGCACAGCACCAGGGATTGCGCATGGTCAGGATGCGCTTGAAGGCGTCCCGGAATTCCTTGTTGAAGATCGAATAGATGATTGGATTGAAGGCCGAGTTCGAGTAGCCCAGCCAGGTGAGTATCTTGAAGGTCTGTCCGCCGATGCAGGTCTTGCAGAAGGCGGCCGTGATGTTCACGCAAAAGAAGGGCACCCAGCAGATGAGGAACACGCCCATAATTACGCCCACTGTCACAGCCGCCTTGTGGTCGGAGACATGGTACGGCGAGCTGTGGTGCAGGTTTCGCACCTTGAATTTCTTGGGCGTCATCTTGGGGCGTCGAATGCTCTTGTAGCGCTGCTTCTCGGCCACCTCGCCGGGTCGGGTCACCGCCTTGATGGACTTGACATGCTTCTGGGCATAGCAATACAAACTGAAAGAGAAGCGGAGAGACAAAAGAGAAGAGAGTGAGGGAAATGGCAATTATTTGTCACTTAATAAATGTTCTGTGTTTGTGGGCGTATCTGACAAATGATTGCTCAACTTCTGGTGTCTGTTTTGCTGCTAGTTATTGGTTACTGTTTCATGTAATTGATATGATAATTATACACTTGGGCCACTTGCCATGTCAATTGCGGCACAAACACACACACACACTGCGTATACGCAACGACTACGACTATCATATCCAATCTTCCACTTCAGCTGCTCTCAATGGGGCCCTACACCACCCCCCATCCCTGGCATAGTGCTGCTGGGCAGCAAATAAACAAGCATATGCGTCAGTCAGAGTATCTGTCATAGTGTCTGTCAGAGTACGTGTCCGTGGGCGAGTGTTTACTTGGATCAACGCATAGAAAGGATAACACGACCAGGCACAAATTATGACGATAAAAGTATATATTTATTCTGTAATTTAACCGAAATTTGATAGAAAATTCCAATGCGAAGCAGCAAGGGATCCATTTGATGGCCCACACCCAACATCAGCCAATGGGGGGCTGCAAATCTCGTTAAGCTAAAATGGCAACGTGCCGCTGGCCGTAACGTTGATGAGCAGCCATGCCATATCGCTGTCCAGTTGCTACTTCTATGTATTTGTGCGTGTGTGTGTGTTTGTGTGTGTTTGTCCTTGTCCTAGTCCTTTTCTACACGCCCAAGTCTTTTGCCTGTTCCGTTTGGGGGGCGGGCACTGGTCTGAGGGGTCAGCCTGGGGATTACTTAGACGGACACTAATGCGTGCGCTTATTTGCTCAACCCCAGGACTCAGACTCAGACTCAGACTCAGACCCATACCCCAAAACCCCTTGCCACAGCCAACAGCCAACAGCCAACTGGCAACACAACCTCTCGTGCCTGGCGGCCATCAAGGGAGAGCGCTTTCTCCTTGTGGCATTTTTCTGATATATTCAGCATTGCGATAGCAGGCAAACTTCCTCCGTTTTTACAACATTTTATTATATACTTTTTACTACTTCTGGCTTCGGCTTCCCCTTTTGTGTTTTTGGCATAGCTGGAAAATATTTGAGTTGGCGTTTTGTTGCCATTTGAAAGCAAAAAACTTTCTTCAGCTCCGAGATACAGAAGTACCAGGAGTATCTCTGTGTATCTCTGTGTATCTCTGTGTATCTACATAATTGCAGCTGAAGGCGTCGGGAAAGGCAAATGAGTTTCTTTATGCATTTCATGTTTTATGCAGGGCCCCGAAAAGTTTGCCTCAAATCTGAAACTGTAGTCGCCCCATCTGGCAGCGTCCCAAATCGCATTTGACTTACCGACAGTAGATGCCAATCATGACCACACAGGGCAAGTAGAAACTGATACAGCTGGAGACGACGGCATAGGTGGGCGTGAGGTCCAGAGCGCATGTGGGATACTTCTTGCCATTATCCTCGAAAATCATCGGCTGGTCAGGCCGATGGATGCCAAAGGAGATTGGCACAAACGAGACGAATGCGGCCAGCAGCCAAATGGCGGCTATGGTAATGACAGCCACGCGTCGTGTCACCCAGCGGCCATATCTGCGAAAGAGAACAAAATGAGAGGCTGGTTTGACTGGGTGAGAAAAGGGTTGCATCAATTTCGGGACAACGGAAGCGGAAATACACGCGTCATGCTTGCTGCCGCTGCTGCTCCTCCTCCATATGATGATGTTGCTGCCGCTGCTCGCTGGCTGGCTGGCTGGCTCTTGTCTTTTTGTTCTTTTGTCCTTGTGGTCTCCAGCAAAGGGTAAGCAAAGAGGGCGCTCCAGGACCAGAAATATCACATGCAGGAGTAACATCAGAGGCGGAACAGAAAACAAGAACACGCTGCTGGTGTGCCATGTTGTGATTGTGGCTTTGCATGTCGCCGGCATGGCATTCCCTCAGCGCCCCGGCAGCAGTGGCCATTAGGCAGTACAACATCGTTTTCGGTCGGGGGCAGGGCGCGACATGTGTGTGTGTGGCAGGGCGCCCAGATCAGGGATCAGGATCAGGTGTGTAGCCGCGCTGCGTGTCATTAATTACCCAGCATTGGCCGTGCGACAAATCAGCCTAACCCGAAACCAAACCGCAGCCCACATATCCCACACAGACCCTGCCACATGGCGCATGCAAGTCAGACTCCGTTGGGCTACCTTTTTGTCAAGCACTTCGATTTTGACTCTAGAGCAGCAGGAAATGAGCAGGCTGAATTAGGGTACCAAAAACCCAAACACAACCCACAGCCCACAGCCCACAGTCCCAGACCCAAAACACTGAAACACCGAAACCGAAATACCCAAGGCTGAGTGGGGACCACAAGAGCGGTGCCATATGCCGCATCATTCTGGCTTGTGCAGGAAATCAAACAGAATAATTCAATTTCAATACAAAGACGCACTCAGACGATGACGAGAATGGGGATGTGGCTGGGGAGGTGAATGTGGATGTGCACGAGGACACAGACGACGACGACGACTACGACGACTGCGACGACAAAGCGGAAACGGAAGTTTATGTAATTGTATTCACATACAAATTCAATTTCGTTTTCGGCACGAAAATTGATTTCCATGTGACGAAAGCCCCTTAGCTCTTGGTGCGCCCAATCTCTCCACCTGGCTCCATCAGGCTTCCCATTCCGCTCTCTGTCAAAGTTTACCGAATTCTATTTCTTTGCAGCTGCTTCTCCTGGCTGCACTAATTCGGCTGCTTCGACGTTGAGGTAACGCTTTGATATATGCACACACTCGTAAAGCTGCAGCCATTAGGCGACACACGACACACGGATTGCCCTGTCTGCCTTCAAACTTTGAGCAGCCAATCAACGTCGTAGCATCGATGGGCTAATTGAAATCGTGTGTGAAATTGTGTGTGTGTGTGTGTGTGTGTTTGTGAGTGCCAGAAGCAAGCGGCTCCAAGCCAAAGGACATTTGCATTTAACGCTCGAGCTCAGGCTGTGACTCTGGCTTCACTGGCTCCGTGGCATGCGGCAGCGGCGGCGGCGACGTCAGCTTTGTGTGTGTGTGTTGTCCCACATGCACTCAAGAAATTACCGCAAGGCACGCACAATGTTCCTGCCCCAATGTCTCCTGCTGCTTCTGTTTGTTGTTGGCTGGGAGACATTTGCATAGTTTGGGGCTGATACTTTTCCAACGTCAGCTTGGGATATTTTGATGACTCTCTACTGTCATTGCTGGCACTCACAGCAGGTACTATAGAACAATAGGTGTACGATCTTGGGCAAGTCACTTTAATGCCACAGAAATTAAAGAAAATTGCTAAGAAATGCCCTCTCTCTTTAATTTTAAATGATTAGAAGACTTCAAGTATCTTCCTCTCAAACTTTCAATCATATATCTCATGCATTGCATTCCCATCTGCGGTCCTACACTGTAGATTCCCAGGAACAACTTTTTTCCCGGCCAAAGCCAAGACAACCCTTGAAAAAAAGATGAAAAAACAATTACAAAATGTTCCCAAGTGCGTCATTGTAGGTGGGACATGTTTTTGTGGTGTGTGTTTAAGTGCTGCGCCTCCGGTGTTCAACCCCAACCCAGTCACGACAACGCCATTCCAGCTCCATTTACACACACACACACACACCTATGCGTGGGAGAAGCTCCCCTTTCCTGCGGCAAAGTTTCATTGTTCTTTCAGTTTTTATTGCAGTTTAAAATGAATTTCACATATGCGTCTGACAGTTACGATGATGACAAGCGCCAAAGTCAACGACAGCCAAGTTTGGGGTACGACAACGACAACGGCAACGATGGCATCAACTTGTCACATAAAATACGAATATTTTCCCATTTCGTTATTCAACTTTCTTGTGGGATGAGATGAGATGCCCAGGCGCCTCATCTTCACTTTGGCAGGGCCTGCTACTAATTAAATTTGCACGCGCTTCTCATCCAAATTGTTTTTTTGCGAAATCCAGGCGAGCGCAATTAAATTAAACGCCTGCAATTATTCTAAAACGCTAAGAAAATATACAGAATCAGCAGTTCTTTTTGGTAGGGGAATGGGATGGGTCTGGGCTGGGTCTGGGCTGGGTCTGGGTCTGGGTCTGGGATGGATGTGCTCTAATGAGACTGAACTTTGCTGGAAGGCACAGCCGAGCAATGTGGGGCACAAAGAAATGCGTTGCTGCCTCCACTTTGACATGCAAATAAATCAGATTTGCATAAAGAGCAGAACGGAGACGAGGAGATATGGAGAGCGGAGCGGAGTACTGCTCTAAGGATAGCAATATTAATGCTAGATCCCAGCTACCATCAAGCATTTCTCAGACACAAAAGGTGGCGACTCTGCGCTGCGCTGCGTTGAGTTTTCCTGCAATTTAGCAGCTGCCAGCTGACGGCACCCGGTGTCCCAGTGCTGGCGCTTGGCTTGGGTTCGGGTCTGCTCCTTCAGATTGAGTGGTGCGAGCGACGTCTTGACATTTGAAGTGTAAAGCAACTCGAGGCGCGCCCATTCTAAGGAGAACCCTAGGCGCTAGGGACGAAGTGGGAGGCACTGTTGGATGGTGGAAATGCAAACGAAATTCAGGTGGCCAAACTCAATTTCAAATCGCTGTCGGGACTTGCCCAGCGGGCACTGTTCTCTGAGTGGCTCTGCAAATGTCATTAACCCAGCGGCTCAAATTAATATCGTACTATGGCAAGTGGGCTCAATCAGAGTCTCAATGGCATTCATTGGGATTAGCGTTAGATCTATTTTCGAAAGCCGTAAATAAATTAAATTAAAACTAAAAGCTCTTCAAACTGAATAAATGTCAGTGCCAGTTTGAGGTTCAATGTTTTGGAATAGTTCGATTAATGATGATTCCAAGATATAATACCCAAATAAATGCCATGCTGAGAGCCTCCTCTAGCTTCAGTGAAGATCAACCAACCGGGTCCTGCACTTCACCCATCATTAACCAATCGATTCCGTGCAGGGAAATGTGCTCTTTATGCGGACTGCAGCTCACTATTTGGTGGAAAATCCATCCCCAACTCTTGCTTAATTCCACTTTCAATTGCATCCAACCAACAAACTCTCCATCCTGCTACGAGTACTCTGTCTGATGCTCCTCGAGGACAAACGGAATTCAAAATCATGAAAAATGTTGCATGAAAATTGTCATTTGCTTGCCCCAGTCAGTTTTCACCTAACCCCTGCCCACTGGCCCCGCCAGAGCTCATTTAAATCCTTTGCCGGGGCATACAAAATTTGCAATCTGAATTTTTTGCCCCGCTCTGGCATCAGCTTGCCACATCAATGAAGCGTTATATGCTCCCCCAACTCGTTACGGGCAACCCGGCCATACAAAAGACCAACAGAGCAGAGAGATTTGTACACTCGTCTATAGAGTGGGAGTGGCAGGACCAGAGGCGGTGGCGGAAGCACAGGCACAGATGGATGCTGCCACACCAATACAACTGTCGTACAACATTTTTCATAAGCGAATAAGCTACCCCAGGTGGCAACAAGCAAGGGGTCGTAGTGTGGCAGCAGACTGCTGGGGGGGGGGGGTTTGGGGATGGAAAAAAAATATTTTTCTACTTTTGGCTTTTGGCTGAAAATAGCATCAAAGGATTTATTATGGCTCTTTTATGACGGGGTTTGTGGGCTAGTGCTGTGGTATGGGTACCGTCATGGGCGGCGGGAGGGGTTGGCAACTGTCTCGATTTGCTGTAGTTGCCCCTAGCCCCTTAGTGTGCCACCAAACAGCTTGCCCCATACTGCTGGAATCATTTCGTTAGGTTCGTTATCCCACTGGGCTGGGCTCATGGTTCTCAGTGGCAGGCTGTCAGCGACTTGACCAACAACATTTTTAACATAGCACACACACACACACATGTACAGATGTGAGTGCTTACACCCCCCACCCACAAATGGAGAGAGATTCCGCTCTGTTGCTGTCGACACATAATAAATTTTTGCGTTTGACTTTGCCAGCAACTGTAATATTTCTGTTCCAATTCCTGTGGCTCACACATTTTTGTTGGCTTTTCGAAAGCTTTTGGCCAGGCTAGGGCCCTGGTCGGGGGCATTGTTGAAAATTTAATTAACACACAATTGTTGTGGTCCAGCCGAATAAACCAGGTCCAGTATGTAGAGAAGTTTAAGAACAGCCGGCAGACGCCTGATAAACTTGTTTCAAGTTTTCAGGTGGGGGGTGGGGGCTGACTGCTTTTGTTGCAATTGCTTGGCTCTGGAAATCAATTTCAAATGCTGACTACAAAGCATACTAACATGGCTGACTGGCAGCTTTTTAGGCAGCCACGATAGAAGGACAAGCAGCACAAGCAGGAAAAACAGGACAGGCAGGCTCATTGTCATTGTCAGAGTCGGGTAGGGAGGGAGGAAGGTGGGTAGGCACACAGAGATATCCAGACGGACTGGCAACCACCTGAGGCAGCAGAATTTGATTGTCCCTTAGACTTCCTTCCACTCGCTCCCACTGCTTCTCAGTAAGCTCTTGGCTGGAGAGGACAGCACAGGATAGGAGTGAGCCGCACAGCTGGAGGAACGTGCCGGATATATGTACACAAGCTAGATTGAACAGTGATAATGGAACGAACATTTGGGCAACTTGTATCCACCTGACAGATGAAGTCATTTCGATCGGGTGTGACAAATGGCAAATGTAGGCAAGAGTAAATAAAGTAAATCGAAATCTTAAAGAAACGCTTGGAAAACCCTAAGATTTAATGGGAAATGGAGTAGAAAATGAAAGAATGGTTCAATCCCTTCAATAACTTACCCTAAGCTGGACATTAATCTGAGTTTTCTTGACAATTTCTCAGCTCCCTTTTTTCAACAGGTGACCAGCTGCTAACGAAAGCTCCCTTGTTCGCTTCCTTCGCTTTGGCTGTGTAACATGACTTGCAGGAATCGATTTGCCCAAAAAAAATATAAACCCCAACCACAACACAAAATCAACAGCCCCAAAGTGGCTGAGGCAACTTCATCTTCAATAAAGTCTCGCCCCAAATGCGAAAAAACGTTCCTGGTAATGCCCAATAAATCTGTTACTAATGAAACAATTATGTGGAGCGATTAATGGGCCACACTGCCATAAACAACTCGAGTGGCAGAGGCACAAAAATAGGGTGAGGAGAGGAGAGCAGAGCTGAGAATGTGATGTGGCAGTGGCGGGAGTACAAAAACGTGACAAGCATGACAACGCGGCGTATGAGTAATGCGCATACAAAGCACCTGCAATGGCGCCTGGCACCTGGCTTTGGGGGCTGATTTTAATGAATCGATATAGACGAGCGCGGCTGTCAGTGGGACATCAATGGAGGGTCTTTTCACCTGTCCGTACCAGGACTCGGGGAGTAAAATTAGTTTCTATCGCACGATAGATACATATATGGATGGAATAATTTATGCATGTGACAGGGAGATGGGTGATGGGAGATGGGGACAGCTGACATCACTCACCTGAGCGGATCCTTGATGTGGATGTAGCGGTCCATTGATATTGCACACAGATTCAGAATTGACGCCGTCGAGCACATGACATCAAAGGCCACCCAAGTATCACAAAATTGCGCTCCAAAGATCCAATATCCTGCAGGAGATATATTGAAAAATACAAAATACGAAAAAAAAAAACAGACAGAGAAGGGGGAAAGTCAAATGACTGTTTGATTGACCTGACGGTCTGATTGCTCGCTTAAAATGCTTAATAAGTAGTACTTGGCTATGGGCCTGGCAATGGGAATGGCTCTGGCTCGGAGTTGGGGGTCTGTGCCTGTCTCTGCCTCTGTGTCTGTGTGTGGTGCGGAAATTGCCATGTTGCGGCCGTCGCACGACGGACGGTATAAAAAAAAGTTGTTTCATTTGCTTGCTGCCGTGCAACAAGCCCTACAGCAACAACAACCATTAACGGAGGCTATCTTCGGAAACCGAAGCTTTGATACCCTCTTTACGATCTCTCATTCGACTTTTGCTTTAATTAAAGTAAGTTTGGGAGCAATAAATAAAGTTACGAATGTTGATACTGTTCTATGTATAATAAACCCGAGTATATGTACTTTATGTGCTCAAAAGGTAATAATCATGGTACCCCTTGGCAAAGGGGATAAGCCCAACAGTAACTGCAACAGGGAAATGGTGTCACAGCCATCAGATTCTTGTTTCGTTTTATTCATGACGTAAATTGAGTTTAAATGATTTCATAAATTCATTTCCGTTCTGTCCGCTTCCCTTTTCATTTTCCTTTCCTTCCACACACACACACACACAAACACACATGCACACGCACACCGCTCGCTGTCCTTTGCGTCATTTAAATTTAATTTGGTCATGAGTAAAAACAAATATTTTGTATTTATTTTTTTTGGTTTGGGTGCTGGGCAATTTTATAAGTGCGCTGCAATTATGGACAGACTCGATTGATGTACGGTGCGTGACCAGAAGCGGATGTCCTTTGGCGCCCAGGGAAGAAGGCATGGGGCCACACGGAAATAAATTACACACAGATACAGCTACAGAGCACTGACATGAGTGCGGTCTATGTGTGTGTGTGTGTGTGTTTGTGTGTGGAATTCAATAAAAGATTTTGATACACAAAAAGGTTATTTATTTGCGGTATGGCTTTTGCATGATGATTCGATAAGAAAACGCAAATCATGCTGGCAAACGGTTACGGCTTTCATGCCGTTCAATCAGGCGTGCCCCAGGATATGGCTCTTAAGTGCCACAGGATGTGCCGACGCAACTGGTCAAATCAGATCGCATCCCATCCCATCCCATCCGACCCTCCTCACTTTTATGCTGTGGTCCATCAAAAGTTATCCTGTGAAGTCAGCCATAATGACATTCAGTTTTCAATGCTTTAAATATTGATTTAAATAAGGGGAATAAAATAAAATAAATAAAATATTGTGCTGGTAAATGGAAACTGGTAGCTGATAGCCAACAAAAAGAGAAAATTGTTTTTAGACATATTTTCGAATGGTATTTCGAAACATATTTCAGCTGTCAGTGTTCTGTCGATGGCCTTATTTTATAGCTCTGTTTAGATTTTCAAACGAATTCTTTGAGCATTGCATTAGATTTGAAAATGGTTTCTATTAAACATCGCATCGCATTTTCCATTTTCACTCCAGAGGTTTGAGCCCCCAATGCAACCAAACTCCGATCCCAAAAGCAGCTTTGGCACACAAATATGCACAAAATTTGCCCCAATGCTCAAGGCCCCGACAAAAAGCAATTTCAGGAGTGAGACAGAGAGATACAGAGCGAGAATTCTCTCAGAGGGAAGGCTGGGGATCTGTACAAGTCAGCAAATAATTCCCACAGCTTTCAATACAAAAATACGTATACACATGCCAATTGCTTATGGCCAAAAAATGTGTTATATGTTTCTCTGTGGCACCATCTGTCTGTTCTCTTAACGTGTCTGAATCTGAGTCGGAGAAGGAGACTGCGAATGGGACTGAGACTGAGAGTGGGTCTGATTCCAGGTCTGTGTGTGAGTCTCTTGTTGTTTGAATTTGTCCAATTGCGTATGATGTTTATTTGCTGATTTGCCTGTCTTGAAGCGTGCTAAATGTTGCCTTGGCAAAAAAAAAAAAACAGTTCCCTCTGTATGGGTGTGTATCTGCGTGTGGGTGCTGAAGTCCCCCTCCTGAGACATGTGTTTGTCTTGAGAGCAGCTGAGCGTTTTTATTTATTTATTTTTCACACTTTTGCTTACGCGGCAGGCACCACTCCAGCGCTTTACCGCTGCTCCTTCATTCCTCTTCTTCGAGTGGCAAAGTCGTTTATTATTTTCACACACTCCCAGGAAAACCCCAGGAAAAGCCCAGGGGGTGCTGGGTGTATGGGTGAGGGCCTCACATACATGTGTCACCTGAACGCATCGCAACGCATTTCAGTCCCGGCTTTCGCTCACATTTTCCAACTCATATGACAAGCTCACATTCGCTTTCTTTCATTGTTTGTGGGGGCACGGGACGCTCCTCCACGTATTATTTTTCCAGTGTTTGTGCGAGACCCTGTACACATTGATGTCAGCTGCATGTTTCCTGAACCGGAACACGTTGTTAGCTCGCTGTCCCCCGGCTGCTTCGAACCCCTATTCTTCTGTTGGGAAAAGTTTTGCCGGCTCCCAAAGCCGCCGTTCGCCTAATTTGCCTCTTATTTACTTAGCCAATGTTCGCGCTGCTGCCACTCGTCAGGAGTACTCCCAGGATTCAGGACACAGGCAGTGCCATCGCCGTTGTGGAATTAATAAAATGCACTCATAAACGGCACCCGGAATGAGGCTGGGACTGCTGCTCCTCCAATGGCATCCGGACGGGCAAAAACTTGCAGTTGCAAAACTTTGTCAGCGTCAACTGAGAACTGAGAGGATACGAAGAAGGGGTTTTATAAAGGAATGGCTTCCATAGTGGAAGGATGCAAGGATGCAAGGAGGCGAAGGAGGAGGCAGGACTGCCATTGCTCCTCTTGGAATGGCTAATGGAAAATAATCAGAATGTGTGGTTGCACTTGGGATCTGCATGTTAGTCTTCGCATCAGACATGCAGCTGGAATAAAATGAAATTCCTGTATGGCTCACTATAACCATTTTTATTCAACGATGCTTGCCAGTGGGTAAAACGAAGAGTTTGTGCGAAAGTTGATCAGAAAGTGAAGCTATAACCCAAGCAGATGTACAAAGAACTAACTTGACATCCAACATTAATTAGGCCAAAAGTAAGCCTCACTCCATAGACCCACCTACTTCTAAAGATATGCTGAGACTTCTTCCATTTTTCAAACAGCAAAGGCAACCCTCGCTTCTGTATATTATTCCACGGAAGTCTCTTGCAATCACAATGGCCCACTCGGAGTACATACTGGGTGTGCTCGGCATAGCCGCTGTACCCTGGGTACTCGTGCAGCGACTCCTTGTGCAGCTGACACTTTAAAAGGCATTGACAAAGCCACATAAAATCCGGCTTTAAGCGCTGCCAGGCATGTCAAATGGGACACGAGTGGAGGAGGGCAGGGCACTCTTACGTCGACTCGTTTCGACACTCTTCGGTTCCTCTCGAGGGGCGGACCTCAACGCTTTTTGCGCTGAAACAGCCTGCAGCATTTTACATAAATTTCCGCGATAGCAACAAAAAATTTCAATTGCAATTTTCCATTACCCACACAGAGACAGATAGACAGACAGACAGACAGAGAGAGAGAGAGAGATACAGGCAGACAGATACGGATAAAGACTCAATAGAGGGAGATGGCATTGGTGTTTGCAGAAAGAAAAAAATGGTTTTTATTTGTACTCACCCAACAAATCGTTGACGCCTGCGAATGTCATCACCAGGGAGGCCACAAACAGATCCGCAATCGCTAATGAGGCCAGGAACAGGTTGCCGATGCGTCGCAGGCTGCGCTCTGTGTAGATGGCCAGGCAGACGAGGATGTTCCCGGCCACGGATAGGAATATCAGCACCGATAGGAAGATGCCTGCGGCGATTCCGAGAAACATATTTGTACACCCACAATCGCACCATATCCAGATGATGGCCATAAGCGCCGAACAATGATCAGACAAAGCATACTTATGGGATGGGGTGGGCGGTGGGGGGGTACACCTGATGTGTGCTGATGTGGATGTGCCTTTGTTGGTGTGTTGTTTGCCGCATGCAACATGCAATTTTACAGATAATTGCTGGTATTGTGGAGAGTGTGTGTGTGCACGTTTAGAAGTGTGGCATGGCTGATGAAGTGTCTACGTGTGTGTGTGTGTGTGTACGTGTTGCATTCAACGACATTTACTTTACCAACAACAACAATTGACACAAGGGACAGCGGCTCCGGTTCCTCACCAACTATTGTATCCATTTCGGAGGCGTTTGTCCAGCTGCTCTCATTGTAGAACGATGTCAGCTGCAATGAAGTGAAGTGAAGACGAAAACCGAGTTATTTAAACTGATTCCAATTAGTTCTTAATTTAGTTCTAGTACTCGTACATTCCCTTTGATGCTCAAACTAATTAAATTTGTGAAATGTTTTTGGCAAATTTAATTAGACTTTTCTCTGCTTTAATTAAGCTTTGCCTGCGTGTGGCATGCGTGTCTTGTCTGTGGTGTCTGCAGTCAACGCTACCGCCGCAAGAAACAAAAAAAAAAACTATCAATCATCTGTGGCATCTGTGGCAGCACCCAAAGAGGCCAAAGTCTCTGGCATTATTCATAATTAAAATTGACAAAATTTCAAGAAATTTGTTGAGCGAGGCTCTAATGAAATTAATTTGTTTGGCTAAGCGTTGCTCCGTCGTCTTTCTCTATCCCTCTGTCGTCTGTGTGTCTGTCTGTGGCAACTTTGAGTGAGAATTTGTCTTGCGGTTTCTTTAGTCGTAAGTGTATTTCTCTCTCTGTGTGTGTGTGTGTGTGTGTGTGTGGCAGACATGTTGGCATTCTGGTGGTTGCCTTTGCTGTAGACCCACCATCACCCACCCAGTATCCTCTGGCTGTGGCACGCACTCACACAAACACAATTGAGCTGTGTAAATGAATTTATTAATTAATACAGCCAGGCACATGCTCATGCTCGTACCCATACTCGTATTCGTATTCGTATGAGTGCGGGAAATGCAATTACTGTGAGAGTGGAAGTGGCTGGGTCTGTACCCGAAAAAGGATTCACAGTGCCTGCCCTGCAGCTGGTTTGGGCCCTTTTCCACGTAGTCCTGCCTCACTATTGCCACAGGAAAATAATAATAACAATAACAATAACAATAATTATAATAATGAAAGCAATAATAAAATGCTCAAAAGCAGACCTGCAAACCGCTGACAAATGCAATTAATTAATTCAAACATTAAAATGCCGACGCAGTATACTATAAACATTTTCCCTGCTACCGCTGCTGTTCGGCATGTCTGAGTCTCCTGCCACACTCCACAGCCGCACATCAGTTCATTTCTGTGCGGGGCTTCCCATCGATAGAACTTTATTTAATTAATTTTTTTTCAACGGAATATATGTGTGTTATCCCATAAGCGGCTTATTAACTTTAAAGTTGCTAATTGTTTGAAATGGAAACTGAAGTTTAATGAGCCCCAAATGCTGCGGCTGTGGCTGTGCGCTGGCCACAAATGGCAGAGCACTCTCTGGGCGTGGAGCACACATGGCGTATGCGCAATTTAGCGCACTAGTTGAGTAAACATGCGTCTGATTAGCCAAATAGATTGTGGATTTCTGAAGGGGAACATTCGCATTATCGTTGTCGCGTGTTTAGCAAGAGAAACGCGTTGGAATGGAGCATTATGTGAATGCAATTCATTTTGCTGTTAACTTCTGCCTTCTGATTTGACTGCTGCCTGGGAATCCCTATGGTGTTTGATATACAATTTACATAATTTAAAAAGGAAGAAGAAGAAGATTATTGCCGATTGCGTGCTGCTCCAAAGACATCAAGTAAATTGCATAAATATTTAACCTGATCCCAGAAACCACATTAAAATTGTGCTCTGGCCCCAGAAGTGCGTTTATTCATTCACAACTTGGCCGGAGCGAATAATATTGACTGGCCAAGTACCTGGGCTGGATAGGGGTCTAACTTTGCATAGATGGTCGGATGCCCCCGAGGCACTGGCTGATTGGGTTAAGGATTACGTGTAATGGACCATGAATTAACAATAAACAAAATTAATTGCCGCTGCACATTACGACCGCCCGCCGGCGACGGACAATAAAAGACACTTAAGATTATAAAAATTACATGAAATGTTTTCGCGTGTCAAGTGAATTTTCATTAAACTTTCCAGCTGCTGCTGCTTCTGCTGCTGCTGCTGCTGCTCCAGCACAGATTTGGCCCTGATGTTGATGGGGGATGTTCATGTTGATGTTTCTTTTGGTGGCATCATTAAAAAGCCGTTAACTGCTTGGCAGTGGTAGGAGGCAGGGCCTGAGGACCCCACGAGTCAGCCATCTGAAGAGATGGCTACACCCAGCACTCATAATGGATAGCCAAATGGAAAACGTGACCATTTGCTAAAGAAACAAACATAACTTCTTAAAAATTATTTGATTTACTAAAAGGTAACCTGACAGTCAATAGCTTGGTGCTGAGGAGTCGAGTGGGCACATCTACAGTTGGCCTTACACCATTATATTCCATCTTTAAAATGTATCTGCATCCCCTTTTCCTTGGCCTGCAGTCTCGTATAGTCCGATTCTTGGTTCTGCATTCTCCCACTGCCCTTTCCTTTGTGGCCAATTCCCTTCCATTGTCTTTTTCTTTCCAACTTAAGAGCAATAATCCACAATTCAGTGACTTACATGGAACAACGCGCAAAGTGAGAGCATAAACCAAGCCAAGCATCTGCCAAGTGTGTGCGAAAAGAAATTTAAACTCTGCCAAAGAACAGCAGATGCAGGAGGAAGTCGGCAACTGTGACAGCAGCTGCTGCATTTAATTGGCAATAAAAGTGGACAACAAATGTATCTGGAAGGCGATTTGCTGCTGCTGAAGGCCGCGTCGAGTAAACACAAAGCAGAAAGGGGGAACACAGTAGAAAAGGCTGCAGGAAAAGAGGAAAGCTGGAAAAGCGGACACGGGCCGCACTTAGGCGCTTTTGCTCTGTTTGCAGAGTTAAATGGCACAATGCGTTGATTAAACGTCAACACACACACACAGACACAGTTATACACCCACTCATACACGCACGTGTTCGTATATCTAACACGAAACACAGAGGCACAGACAGCTGTAGGCTGGCAACAATAATAAGGCTTGAAACGGTAAAAGGGGACACAGACCTGTTGGAAAAACATCTACAGAACACGAACTGAAAGTCCAGCAGCGAGACACGAAGCTGTAGATACCCTTATAGTGCTCTCGTTATTGTGGTAGCTACATATACGATACAGGCATACGATCATACTGCTAATCAAAAATATATTTACTGGTATCAGAGTTACTTCCACTATTGCAAAGCAAGACTTCTCGTAAGGGTATTAAAAGGTAAAGTAACTGCCATGGCTGCGTCCTGTGTCTCTTTGCTAGTCTCTGTGTGTGTTTGTGTCTGTCTGTCTGGCTGTCCGGGAAGTAGTGTGATTTACAAGGAGCAGCACCATAGAGCAGGCACAATAATAAGCGAACCGCACAAAAGGAGGACACTGGACTGGACTGAGACCACAGCTCTAGAGTTCCACACTTTACAGTGTCATTCGAGGGCTTCCACCAAGAGCAGTGGGATAACCAACCATATGGCCATAAAGGTATAGTTTTGTTAGTTAAATGTTTTAAACCATAAACTCAAAGAGAAAGTCTGCAGCAAATAGAATTCCCATGAGTGGAAAGTAAACTTTTAGAATGCACCATAATAAATTTCCCATTTGCAGCATTTTGAACTTTTCGCACACGATTCCCCACCAAAAAACCTGAGCCGTTTGAGTTTTAATACGAAAGCCAGGCAGAATACTGTGCTTCCTGCTGCTCGACCCGGTGCTTCCCTGATTAGCATACATTTAAATTCTCATAATAAACAAGCGAAATTTCACGGAAAAAAAGTCTTCCCCGCTCCTATTTGAGGTAGAAAGGATAATAGCCGGGCCTAGACAGCTGATTTATGCGTTGAGCAAATATTTATTGTTTGCTTTAAGGAACTTTCTCAAGGAACTTCAAGTTTTTGGGTGAGTTTGGAATAAAGCGGTGTCTGCCCCGTTATTCGGGTGGAGCTGCCAAGGTGGGGCATTCGGCACTCACTTGAGCAGACTCTAACTGCAGTAACAATTGCGAAAGTCTAACAATTTCTTCCGTCTAAATATCTCGCCTTGGAGCCATTGTCAGAGCTGTCAATGGATATTGACAATTGCAGGCGGGGCTCGGGCTATGGCAGGAGCTGCTCCTGCAGACAGCTGTCTGTTGATGGCTCTAACCCCCTCTAACTCTACTCGCATCCTGGCCCTGTCTACGCCTGTCAGCCAACATTGCTGCTCGTTCTGAATGTGGGGGGCTCATTGTTTGCATTTCGACTTAATTAAACAAGGCTGAAAAGTCAAGAAGTTTGCCGGAGTGGGGCGCACACATGTGTCTCTGGCTGTCAAATTTACCCAAACTGTCATAATTGGAGCCCAAGCATCTACATATGAGAATTACAGCAGAGGCTTACGATGCAAATGGCGCGGAAAACCAGGGATTCTCTTTAAGTGGAAGGCTGAAGGATGAGCAGCAGCTCTTGCCTCAATTATGAATGAACTAATTAGATTCATATCGTCCTAAGCTGATGGATAACAAGTTTTTCTTTCCTCCAGCGGGGATTCACACTTGCGGTGAGCGACCGCAGACCTTGAACCTCAAACTCATGTCGAATTTTTTCCCATATAAATAATTAAAATGGCCCAGAACTAGACGAATGGTGCTGGGGCTCTCTGCTCTGTGTGTGTGCAAAAATCTGATTAAAATTTCATTATATTTTGGTTGTGTGCAACATCACAGGGAAACACTTTTCGCAGAGTACGTAGAGTTAGGGTTGTATACACGGATATATATTGATTGCATTTTGATGCGATGGGTGGCCTACACAAGCATAGAAAGGTACAAGTACGAGTGTATAGCAAGATGATGTGCAGGAGCATAAGCTGCCACCACTGCTATGCTAATTAGCCCATTCCCTTTTCATTAGACAAACGTGTCTAAGGTTCCTGTTTGTCTCCGTCTCCGTGTGGGCAAAACAAATGTTTTGGATGTGTTTACCCCGACGCTGCTCTATTGCCTGCCAATTTTCAGAGGGGGTTCTGCTTTGGTTCTGCCGTTCTGAGGTTTGTTTGTGTTTGCTGCTAGCCTTTAGATTGCCTTGCTGATTGGCCTCGGGGCGGATTGTCAACGACAGGATAATTAGCTGCAACAGGAGATGACTGCTGGCTGGGTTGCTTGGCTGCTGGGGCTGCTCGGGCTGCTGCTGAAGTGTATCTGCTTCCACTCTTAAGCTGATTGTATAAGCGGCTAGCCCCTTCTCACTCACTCAACCACTGACACTCCATCGCTGCTCTGTGTATCGATTTTATAGTTTTTCTTTGCCTTTCCTTCATTTTTTTTTTCCGGATTTGCACTGAATTTGAGTGGAAAGCTTGCCAAGTGCACGTCAGTCAGTCACTCCTTGGGTCTCCTTTCGTCAGTGCTGCGAGTGTGTGTGTGCGTGTGTGTGCTTAACACAAACATCCCGTTAACTCGCACAAGTGTCGTCGTCGCTACACAGGCATTCACACTGACACACTCTCATAGGAGTGGAAATACACACTCACTCACACACTTAAAGGCGTGGAAATACACGAATGCAGCTGCACTTGTCTTTATTGAAGGAGCAGGGCGAGAATGGGAATGCGAATGCGAATGGAATGGAAAAAAAAGTAACAGAGGAAACTCTATCTTATGGATTCTGTTCTGGCCGTGTCAAGATGCACAACAATTGCAGCTCCGCAAATCCATAAAAATGCGAAAGGCATCTACAATCTACAATAAGATTTCGCGCACTTATGTGCCATCAATATCCGATTCCCCAAAGGATCATTAAATATATGAGTGTTAGTTTTTTTTCACAATTGTCGCATAAAATGCGTTGGGAAACATTGCCATGCCTCTTGTCGCTTTAGTGGGGTAGAAGCTGTTCTTTTTTTGTGATCCAAAAACCAATAAAAATCTTCTAAATAAAACATTTGACTATTATCTGTCTTTATTTTGCTGCACAGCTAATCGCCTCTTAAAGAAATCTCAGACTTGGCAGCCATAAAAATCGGGTCTATTAGGAACACTGGTATTTTGGCAATAGCTAACAAATGTCGCTGCACGCCCAACATCCAGAATGATTGACATGGACATGGTATGACATGGCCATGGCCCTGTTAAATTGACTTGTAATCGTTTGCACTCCGGTGGCATTGTCGGAGTCATCGGTGCCAGAGGCTCTAGTTGTGGCCCACACACACACACCGACACACACACACATAAGCCAAAACCATAAAAACTGCCAGCAGCAAATAGGGCACAAAAAAGGGCAAACACAAACTCGTATAAGCAGGGTTTATGGTCAATAAGAAGAGGGCCTTTTTGGGCTGGCGGCATCCCTTTGACTGCCCCATTGAAAATCCTTAGCCCCATTCACCTGACCCTAAAAAAAAAAAAGGGAAAGCGGTGAATGAAATTCAGACAACATAAAAATCAGGAATATGCAACCATTTTCATTTACCTTTCCGGCAGAGAGGAGAGCGTGAAGAGAGGTACAGGGGAGGTGCAATTAAACGGCAACACCTAGACAAACACATTGTGGCTCTTGTGGCCAAGATTAATGTGGAATGGCAAACGGGTCTCTGTCTCTGTGCCCACCAGCTGCAGCGCCCTCTGTTGATTGCAGGGTCCTGGTGGATACGTGTGTCTGTATTTATGCGGTTGCTATATAGCCGTGACCCGATTCATGGAGCACACAGCATTCCTGCTCATTTATTTTGTGGCCATGGCCGTGGCACCGTGATTATGGCAGGCGCTGTCACACACATTTAATTAGGCAAAATTGCTGACATTTATCTCTCTCTACTTTTCTTTTAGTCTATTGTGTGGTCTGTGATTCCCGCAAGTCTAATTGAAAGTCCCCAGAGTGTATGAGGAAAACGTTTTCTGCGGCTAACAAAAAAAATTAAGCTGCGAAATGTGGATGAGAGATATTTATGTATGGCTCACAGATTCAACGAAATGTGGGCTGAGAGTTGGCAAAAGGAAAGCGATTTATGATTGAAATTGTTGGCAAATATTTCTGAAGCGAAATCTTCAACATTTTAATTAAATGTTAGCATGGGAGCTCCTCCACATTCTTCCACACTCCCCACTCCAAAGTGGCAAAGTTAGAGGCCTGGCAACACACACTGAAACTGCGTTTGTGGCACACGGCTATCCTTGATGTTGTTGAGGCACACCACACAGCACATAAATTACGGGTTGGACCCTTTGGTAAACAATTACAGTAGCGGCCTGATAGCCCCCCATTTTCAATTGGCCATCGATACTCATTTCAGTACGCCCCTTCACGCCCCAATGCCCAATGATTTCGACAAATGGCTGGCGGAAATTTGCACAAATTCCAAAGGATTTGCCACAACAATGGAGGCGCTTGTTGAATAGAAAGAGAGAGAGAGAGAGAGAGAGAGACGGGTGGGCGAATGGGCGAGCAAGAAGATTCAATAACAAATAATGCTATTAATATTTTATTATTCTTACTATGCAAAGACCGCGAACAATGGACAAAGCCAAAGCCAAAAGTTTTTCCATGCGACGGCTTACGGGCAATAGAAAATGCGGAATTCAATCCAAGAACATGCACAATGGCCACAATGGAATGTCTGGTGGGAGAGCGGGTCGGGTGCAGAGGAGGAGCATAATACTATTTTTCCATATATAGCAAGCATTTGATGTGGGGATGCAAAAGAATCGCCGAGAGCAGATTAATAATTCAATTAGATTGCAAAACGCGGCGTATGCGTGATGCATTATGCAAATGCCTGGCAGAGGCACAAGAATCACGGCTGACGCTGGCAATTTGGTGGCTGACACATGACGAGGACAAATGTCAGTGTCACCAATTGAGAGCAAAGCTCGTGGAATTTTGCACGAGCCACGTATAAGGTGAAACTTTCAGGGAAAGAGCCAAAGGCAGCTGCAGCTGCCTGGCAATTAGATCAAATAGATTGATGGGCACAAAGTGAACCAATTGAGAGACGAACATCCACCGTATTATCGTTGCTCTGCTATTTCCCAGCAACAGTTTAAAAATTAGTTAAAAATGTATTTATGTGGAAAATGTGTGTGGCAAAAACAGGATGACAGCGTTGCCCCTGCAGCAGGCTGTTCCTCAATACAATCATGTGTATCCCCAGGGAGTCGCCTCGTCTGCCAACTTACGTGATACTCATTATTTACATTCGATTGAAAGTTAAACGTGCGAACAGATGAGCAGAACTTTGTCGTTTGGCACGGCACAACATGTATTTAGATTTCTATCTCTGTGAGCGTACACGAGCATACGAGTGTGTGTTGCTGTGCTGCTGCTGCCACGTCAAGCACGTAAATTGCTCGCCAGAGAAAAAAAAAGGATAAACTTTGGTTTTCGTATATACTTCCTGGCCTTCCTTCCACTGAGCGAACGGAGGAGTTCCTCTGGCTACCCGCTTTTCAGAACTGGATTATGCATCGATGAAGGTGCACACTTGTCTGTCTGTCTGTCCCTATATGTGTGCGGAAGTATCTGTGTATGTTTTTTTTTGGTTGGGGTAAAGGAAAAGTTTCACATGTGCTGCTGGGGCTGCTAATGAGACTCGCATTCATTTTCATTTAGCAGTTGACTGAGCCAGAAGTGAAATAAATTAAAAGCAAGGAGTGGCACCCAGCGAAAGGAGAAACTTTTTGCTGAATCCTTTTGTCGTGATTTATGCATTTTATTAACTGATATAAATGCGTGTTTGATGTGTGATAATTGTGTGGCACAGCTATGTGTGTCTTTTCTTTGCTCCTCTCCCCATAGCGTGGTTTATGCCACAAAGGATTCATCGCTATCCGCAACCTTTTAACCCACAGCCAGTCACCCTTTTGTCTTGACAAATCATCAAATGCCATCTGCGCGCAGAATTTAGTGCAAATATTGATTGCGTATACGCACCATAAACCAGCACAAGGGAAACCACACAAAAACTATACGACAATGTTCGGGGCTCGGCGAAATATGCGAGCACGTAATAAAAATGAAATGTTCATGTCTGATGGCTCGCCCTACCTCATACAATTCGTCTCCACATCCGCCCCGTTCTGATCGAAGAGAAAGCGAAAAAGAGAAAGAGACATTGTAAATTATAGTAGCAATACCTGAACCAGAAGCAGCACATTTTATGAGCCTCGAACATAAAGCCCGCACAGGAGCCAGAGTCAGTGTGAGAGCCCAATGAATGCCGCCTCGATGGCAGCCCCATGAGCCACACCGATAACCCGCCCTGACCTTCCCCTGCAATCGGATTCACTCACCGTTGTGCCATCATAGCCATTTGTCAGCAGTTGAATGTCGATTTCAATGTCCATGTCCATCTTGGCTGTTGTCAACTGCAGCGGCAGGTGATCGGCCTCTAGGAGCGTGCCATTCCGACTGCTACTGCTGCTGATGCTGCTCCTGTTGCTGATGGCCAGGCCGATGCTGCTGCTGATGGAGGCGGCGGTGGTGGTGTGGCTGCTGTTGCTGCTGCTGCTGTTGGTCAGGAACGGAATGCTGTGGTTGCTCCAGCCGCTAGCCGCAGAGGCAGCCACTGCCGCTGCCCCGGCCGCTGTCAGGGCGAGCGCTGCAAGAGCACTCATTGCATTTGTCATTTGGATGGCAGGTAGGCTGGTGATTAGTACGGGGGAGGAGGAGGTCGGGTTCTGGTCTGGTCTGGTCCGGTCTGGTAAAGGGGGGAGGCCCAGGCCCTCTGCGGTGCGTTCTCTTTGCGGTTCAGTTGCAGGATTGGCGGCAGAAAAAGTCCGATGCCCGGATACGGCAATGCAGTTGCAGCATTTCGCTAATAGACTTTGATTGAGATGCAATTTGTCCACTGTTTTCCAGATCTTCACTTGGTATTCGTTTGGAATGGTTCTGGATTTTGGTTCTGTTTATTCATTTCTGCAGCAGCCGCCAGAGGCTACGCGGCGATGGGCGCACTGCACTCAACTCGGGTTCGACCGGAAATTGCCCAGGTCCTTGCATCAATCAGGCAAATTACTAAAATTGAAGTCAATTCGGGGGCCAGGCTTGAATGATTAATTGCCCCGATGCCCAACTTTTTGCACCTTCCACCCACACGCTCAAGCACACGCACACTGGGAGGAAACGCGCGCCCGACAAGAATTCTCGATCGGCACAGACACTGACACCGACACAGGCGACGAAAGAGACACCGACACACACACACACACACGTTCTGGCACTTTGATATGGTAGGTCGGCTCCTGGTGGCCTATGCTTTAGCTGCTGTTTCTGTTACCGCGTGCCGAACCGTGCGAACTGAAGTCTGAACGTCGACTGTCTGGACACGCACGACTGGCCGTGCCGGAGCAGAGACGAGCATCGTGCATTCTCCTTGGCCAATGCCGCCAAGTATCCAACAACTTTCGAATCGTTTTCATACGCGACTGACTGCCAGAAGGCCAGCAGGGGGAGCCTGAGTCGGAGCCAGAGCCGACAATTTCCATTCAACAGGATGTGTCCATAACACAGGCGAAATATCTGCGCAGCGCATCTATGAGAGAGCTTTGCTCCAGAGAGAGAGGTACGAGCGGGAAAGAGAGTGGGTTTGGGGCGGGGTGGGAGCGCAACAATCACCTGTTGTGCCACAGAAGCGTTTTGGGCGCGACTTCAATGCGTTTTCTCTTGCGCGACTTTGGCGCGTTTTTGCCAGCGCAACTTTGGCACGTTTTTGCCAGCGCGTCTTTATGTACGCGACTTTCGAGCGCTGTTTGCGTCTTGCGATTTGCGCTTTGCGACTGGGTGCCTCCATTAGGTCTCATTAGCAGCGGACAGACGACAGTGGCAGCCACATCCAAATGGGCGACAATTTTCAGCTTTTTTGTTTGACAAATTGCCGCTGGCAGAGAGCCACCAGTCGAGGAGGCAATCTTTCAATTTTAATGTAAATAAAAAACTAGGCTAGCGTTTATTTTGGCACTGGATTCACATACAAGCTATTAACTAATCGTCTAGGGAAAGGCTCTCAGTACCACATGACCGTGTGCAGCCAGTCGATGTGCCTGGCCAGATCCGTGTAGATCACGGGCTGCGACAGATCGCAGCGATTGCTCAGCCGCTGGCCGGCTGAGACGACTCCGCGCAGCAGCCAGATGTCCGACTCCTGGAGCATCAGACCACCGCCAGAGTCCCCGTTACAGGGACCGGCTCCCTCCCGATTACTGGCACAAACGGTGCGCGAGGTGACGAAGCGCACATTCTCGGATGTGAGATTACCCCGGCACTCCGGCAGCGTGATGATGTCCGTGTCCGTCATCTTGGCGATCCGAGAGTTCCTGTTGCCCCGCTCATCCTCGCCCCAGCCGGCCACATAGGACTTGTGGCCCGACGGCAGATCGAGCAGATAGTTTTCGTTCCACAGGCAGATGGGTCGGATATAGTCGGTGAAACTGAAACAAATAAATTGTTAGGATTGCTCTCGGGGGCAACACTTCTGTCTGGCAGCACTTACTCCACCGGCTCTGATAGCTTCAGCATCGCCAGATCCGCGTCTGTATAGATGCTGGGATTGTACTGCTCGTGGATGACCAGCTCGGCCACTGCTCGCAGGGCTCCTTGCGTCAGCAGATCCAAGGAGTTGCGGCCCAGCGACACGGCTGTGCGAGTCGCGGGCAGATTGCGGCTGCCGAAGCGGAAGCAATGGGCCGCCGAGAGCACGGTGGAGGCCGAGATGAGGGTGCCGCCGCATAGGAAGTTGTACTCGTTGCCCACTCGCTCGTACAGGGCCACCATCCAGGGCAGCTGTCCCCGCTCCACCACCTGCCCGAAATGGATGAGCGGCGTGCTGACGGGCTTCTCCTTGCCACAGACGCCATTCAATTGTCCCAGGGTCTGGGGTCTGTTGCCTGAGGGTCGATGTCCAGCGGGTGATAGTGCTGTGGCTCGCTGTGTGGTGGTTGAAGTCGGCTCCGGGATAAATTGTGGTGCTGGCGTTGGCCCTGGTCGTGGTCGGAATGGTTCTTGGAGCTGTGGCTGAGGCTGAGGCTGTGGCTGAGGTTGGGGTCGTGCTCTCACTGGTTCCTCCGGCTCCTGTGGATATTGCGGCTGCTGTGGCTGTTGTGAAAATTGTGGCTGCCTAGGTCTTTGTTCAGGCTGACTCAGCAAAGGCCCCGTGGAACGTAGAGTGTGCGATAACGAAAGTTTCGTACTGGGAGGAGCATCTGCAAAGGCATCAATACACTAATCAGATAATGATATACAGTTGGCAAAAGGGCTGTCCGCTTACACGGCATAGAACGGCACACAATCCGCCCGTTGAGGGAGATCAAAGTTAGTTTTGGAACCACACCCGGCGTGGGAAAGTCCACGCGATAGTTGATGGGTTCGTTGTAGCGCAGTCGATACCTAACCGATTCCTCATTCTCCAGTAGATTCAGGTCCCCCGGGTAGCTCTGAAAGAGATGCAAAAAGAGAGCGCGTCATAAACCGTCTTCCCTTGTATGGAAATGGATATGGATGGCGTCAACAATTGTAATCGACGTCGGCTACGTTCCCCATCCACGTAAACATAACTCAACTGGTAAAACCAAAGCTGAGGCTCCACAGATATTAATACTAGTCTGTAGTTTATGGTAAAAACCGGTCGCACAACTTGGAGTCCCACACCGGAGAGAACAGATCAGAACGGAGGAGAAAGAATCAGAATCAGAATCAAGTGGCAGCAGCAGCAGCGGAATGGTGAATGGGGGGTGTTTTCCCCTCAGGCCTTATCAGGCGGCAGCATGCAATCGAGTAACCCGCAAAAATCGAGTAAAACATTGAGCTTGCAATTGTGATACGGGGAAAATCACGAGAGTAAGGTCGCTGCATGATAAGGGAGCGCAAACCCAACAACAAACAGCTGGAAATGGAAAACTGTAAGGGATATGAGGGAAAACTTACGGTGGTATATCGACCTGGCTGGGAAAGCTCCACGCGCAGTGAATTTTCCAAAATGGATGAGTCCAGTTTCAGGTTTATGTGGCCAATGTGCTCCTGGTTGTAGCCCAAGTACTCGAACAGCTCTGGACAGGCAATGTATGGCAGGTTCTGTGCCCAATGGAGCGAGATCTGCAGCAGAGTCAGCAGGAGGCCTAGCTGTAGCTGTAGCTGGCACATAACTCATGCAATTCAATAAATATTTATAGGGAAACAAATAAATAAGGTAACTGCGAATGTCGCGCACAACTCGCGGGTTCACAAGTGGCAAGTTCAAGCGGCGAACTGAAACCGAAACCGAAACCGCACACAATGAGAGTCGAGCGATGAATGATTTGTGTGCTTGGTTGGGGGGGGCGCGATCTAGCTGAACGATCATCTAGCGGAGTGGCTCGATAATGAGATTCGATTGGAGCCAGCAGTCACCCTCACACTGAGCTCTCGCTCTGCGGCGCTCTCCGTCTGGCTCTCTGGCACAAACGGCTTGGGCTTGGGATGGGGCCCACTTGATTACACGAGTACTCTCTCTTAACTTTTGTGTAAATTTCCAAGGTATTGAATGGGGAAATACACTAAACAATCCTCGCAGAGGAGGTACCCTTTACCTTTAGAATATGTTTAAGGAATATCAATAAATCCAGCCAGCAGAGCTCCCGTTCATAAGAGATCCCCATGTCATTTAGCACTCAGAATTTGTGCAGCAAAACAATGATTCAGTTGCAGTGTATACACACTTTGTGGTTTCGTTTGTTTATTCTACTCTATGATTAATGGATGCCAGACTTGAATTACCCGTAGCGTAGATGCCAGTTTAAATTCCATTAATCAAACTACAAATCGGATTGGCTCCGCTCTTCCAGCCATTTGTCAGTTCGCTTGTTAATTGTCATTGCATTCGTAGAAGGCAGGAAAGGGCAATCAGTTTCGGCTTCGATTTCAGTTCTGTTCGGATCAGTTCCACATGTTACTGCGCACCCAGTCGATGTGCTTGGCCACGTCCGTGAAGACGGAGGGCCTGGACAGGTCACAGGTGTTCTCCTTGGCATTGATCCTGCCGCCAGAGATGACGCCGCGCAGCAGCCAGACATCGCCCTCCCTCAGCATCAGAGGGCCGCCGCCGTCACTGCCACAGGGGCCGGCGCCCACCTTCTTGGCGCACAGGGTGCTCGGCTGGACAAGGACATGGGGCAGCTCTAGGGTGCAGTTCGAGTCGGAGACAATGCTGAGGTCAGTGACCTTGGCCACGTCCGTGTTGCCATTGCCCTCCCCGTCCGCACCCCAACCGGCCACGTACGACCTGACGCCCTGCGGCAGATCCATGCGGTTGCTCGTGCTCCAAAGACAAATGGGTACGATGTAGTCGCTGAAGGCGACGGGCTCATCCAGCCTCGCCAGCGCCAGATCCGCCTCCGTGTACTGCTTGAACTGGTAGTTCTCGTGTATGAGCAGCTGGGACACACCTCGGAACTCTCCATCCGTCAGGATGTCCAGGCTGCTGCGGCCCAGAGAAACGGCCGTGCGACTGGCAGGCAGATCGCGGCCCGGAAACCGGAAACAATGCGCCGCCGTTAGCACCGTGGAGGCGGATATGAGCGTGCCCCCACAGAAGAAGATCGGACCGTTGCTCTCTCGCCGCTCGAAGAGTCCCACCAGCCAGGGCAGCTGTCCGCGCTCCAGGCGCTGCCCCTGGAAGATCAGCGGCGTGGTTACGGTCCTCTCACGGCCGCAAACAATGTTGCTGGAGGGCGTCTGCGGAGAGGGAGTCCTGGATCCACTGTTCACTGGTGCACTCTGTGTAATGGTCTGCGGGCTAGCCCTGCCCTGTCCAGGACTAACTGCTGGCCGCTGTGTGCTGTTCTGTTCACGGTAATCGAAACCACTCTGAGGTTCAACGGCGGGACGCACTGGAGATGAGGGTCGGACTGAGGGGCGAACTTGTGGCCGTACTTGTGGCCATACTTGTTGCTGCACTGGCTGGGAACCATATACATCCAATGCATTTGACGAATGACCCGTGCCGCGCTCCTGTAGGGAGGTGGTGACCGTGTGCGACAGCGTTATGGATGTTCTCGGTGGAGTATCTGTAAGAATTTACAGCATCAATTTCCGTCTTAAAATCGCTTTTCTAGCATCCTACTCACATTGCTTGTCACCACAGAGCTGCACATCGTCCACCCGGATGCTGGTGACCTTGGGCGGCTGGCTGGGCAGGGGAAAGTCCACACGATACTGAATCGGCCAGCCCTGTCGCAGATTATTCTTGGTCCTGTCATCGTCCGTCACCAGGACAACGTTTCCCACGTATTCCTAAATGAAAATAGAGAGGGAGAGAGTGAGTGAGGGGGAGGGAGAGGAGAGAGAGAGAGAGAGTATTAAAACATGTTCCTGCTCTCATTGAGATCTTGTTTACAACGATCGCTAAATGCGTTGATCATTATTGACATCAACCGCAAGTGCGAATGGAATGGGGAAAAATCACAACCGCAAGCGCATTCAATGATAAGAGCAGCAAATGCAAATGAATAAAGTTTGGGGGCTAAACCCAAGTTCAGAGGTGGAAATGGGAATGGGGAATGGGCATGGGAAGGGCATTATCCTACCTACCCAGGTATAGAATCCGGGCTGCGAGAACTCCAGGAAGAGCGTGTGATTGTTCACCATCGGATCGTGGCGCACTGTGACCAGGCCAATGTACTGTCCGTTATATCTCTGGTAGCCGAAAAACTGCGAACAAGCGTTGGCCGGCAGCTGTCCCAGACTCCACCCGAGGCACATCGTAATGATGAGTCCAGAGACCAGCAGTAGCTTCCCCATTTCAGCTACGTTTTTTATTTACTCTGCTCAAACTGATGACAATCGAACCTCACCCAATGAACGCCGCCTAGCAAGTGATCTGTGTGCCTATTCCATCTCCAACGAACGCAGAGAGCCCCACTTGTCTAGGTATACTTTGAGTCATTTTAGTTACTCAAAGCTGCAGTCTATTACGCTCCATTCTGATTCTGAGTCTGAGCTGGAAAAGCATTTAAATGGGAATTATGCAAGCGCGTGGAATTCCTTTTCGAACTGGCAATGCATAATTATCTACTCTGACAGCTGTGGGATGTTTACGGAATACTCTATAATAATCATAGGAAAACCCTTAAAATGCTTGCCCTTTTGTGTGCTGCCATAGCACTTACTTAATATTATCCTGCCAAATACAAGGCTGAAGAGAGGCTAATTATTACCCCATTTCTCTGAAGTCTCTGGAGAGACTTTTTGCTCGTACTGTTCGATGATGTCCTGCAGCTGACGCTCCACAATGAGTCTATCCGCGGTAAATTCCTCCAGTACTTTCGCCAAGCACTGAATACTCTCTTCGCGGACAAACAGCAAGTGGTTGGCCTGGTCCCGAAAGCGGTCAAGCTCCTCAGGCACCCCCTTGAGTCCACTGCGAGCTTTTCTTACGGCATTGTGGCACTCGTTGCTGAAATTCCGGCAATTCACCGTGGCTAGAATCAGTTCATCGGTAGAGCTTTGGCAGATCTCTAGGGGCTCCTGCAATTCCAGATAATATCGAGTCTGAAACCATTCGTATTCCTCCTGGCAGGCGTGCAGCCGCAGGCCGTTGCGTATTCGGAAACCCTGGGTGATTTTCCTGGCCCTAGCGGTGCCCGTACCCGCTGTTGACTGCCTCACATTTTCCACTAGGACTTGGGCCATTTGCTTCCACTCATCCGCTGTCTGCCGCTCCCACTGATCGTTGCTCGCCTGCTGGCTGTTGATGTGCCCCAGGCTGGTCCGCAGATCGAGAATGGCGGCATTTACTTCGCTTAGCACCTCCATTGCATCCTGCAGTGACTGGCTCCTGTACCTGTTTCGCTCCCTGAAGAGAAAAGACTGCAATTGCCCCATCGCAATGCCCACACGATCAACAAAGCTGGCAACCGACTTGGTGATGTCATTTTGCAGCTTATTAGCCAGACCTATGGCCTCGACACCAGCCCGTAGGACAACCTCATGGGACGAGCTGTGTAGCTTGTTGAGGACCTCTTCGGAATTAGCTCCACGACTCATCTCATAGCGATAGATCTCCTCCACTTGTCTGCCCAACTCAGACAGGACCTCCCATTGATCAGCTTGCGGATCCCTGGCACAGATGCCGCGACAGCTGGCACACAGAGCGACCAGCAAAAGCAACGAACTTCTCCACTTCATCGTGCCAACAGCCTACCGAGAGGGCTTTCGTATCGCCCTGTACTTATATATTGGACGAATCGTCATAGATCAGCACGCTTGAACTTCAAATATTTAATCAACTGCAGTTAATCAATGGGCAGTCAGCACGTGGTAATAATGTTGATATTTAGTTAATGGCAATTCCTCATTTTCATTCCTTTTGAATTAATTACAATTAACGTCTAACGTCTGAGATGGTTCTGAGACATTGATCGTTTAGCGTTCAATTATTTCAGGAGGCCCTGCACAATTCATCTTCCATCGTGGGAAGTAACTACGAAGATTGGACCATGGGATATAAGCTGTGATTGGTGGCCATCAGCAGCTGATCTGTTTCGTTCCGCATCAAGTTCCAGCTGCAGCTTGCAAGTTTCATTCTCTGCCAGGGGCTCCACCAAAGAGAAGGTGTGATAAACAGCTGTTAGCGCTCTCAACGTATCTTTTATATTGCTTTGGTAACTGGAGAGTAAATCCATTATTATTCCCGCAGCCATTTCAACAATGGTCGCAGCTTTCTTCATCGAGAAATTGGGTTGTGAAGTATAGAAAAAATCATGGGTAAATAGGAGCTCCAGAAACTCCACTGTATGATGCCAAATAAGACAATGGATTGATGAGGGGATGAATTAGTTAGCCAAGTGCTCAGATGCCGAATAGTTGATCAACTGCCGCTGGTCCCTGAACACACTGGCATCGCATAAGCAGCGTGCGAGCAAGGGTTCGCTTCATAACTCATCGAAAACTCGTTCTGCCAGCTGTTTGGCAATATTACTTAATACTTAATATTCCCCAAACACAAAAATAATCAGCACGAGAATAGATTGTTGTGAGATACGTTAAACGTGTTTGCCCAGAGTTATGAAGGGGCCGGAGTGCATGCGAAATATTTGATTGGGCTGTGGCTTAGGGTTCTTTAATCAAGGGTAAACAATCTTGGGCTTCCGCCCAGATCTAACGTAGGTTCTCGCTGAGCCAAGTGAGATGCTTGGACAGGTCGCAGAAGAGCACATATTGCTTGCTGAGCTGGCACTGTCCGGAGGCGCCACGTTCGCCCAGCGAGACAATGCCGCGCAGCACCCAGTGGGTGTCCCGCCGGATCATCAGGCCTCCACCGGAGTCACCAAGGCAGGGTCCGGATCCGTCCCGGTTGCCGGCGCATAGAGTGCGCTCGGTGACGGCCGAGGCCTTCCAGCTGCTGATGCAGTCCGTGGCGCTGGCTATTTCCGCCTCGACAACCCGCGGATATTGCGTCTTGGAGTTGCCGAACTCGTCCGTGCCCCAGCCCGCTATGAAGCCGGATGTGCTGACCGTTTCACTCTCCCGCTCCGTCCACAGGCAGATGGGGCCAATGATGTCATTGAATCTGGAAAAGGGGATGAGATATGAGATGGCACCAATCGAATCAAAATCAAAATGCACCCACGTTACGGGCCGCTGCAGGGTGACCAGAGCAATGTCTGCATCGGAGACCACTCGTGTGGAGAACTCCGGATGCCAGAGCAAGCGCCGCACATCATGCATCTCGGCCCCGTCCTCGTTGTAGTCGTCCAGATCGTAGCGGCCCACTCCTATCAGCACGCGATCCTCCTGCATCTTGTACACGCAGTGGGCGGCCGTGATCACCATGCTGGCCGAGATCAGGGAGCCGCCGCACTTGAAGGCCAGCGCCAGCGACTCCTTGTGGTAGACAGCCGACAGCCAGGGATACTGCCCGCGCGGGAACTCCTTGCCGCGGTGTATGAACGGCGAGAGTCTGCCCTCGCGGCCACACTCCACCGGTGTCGTGGCGGCCTGGGGATTGAATCGATTGCGGTTGCGATTCGGTGCGCGCGTCGACGGTGGAGCTAATGGTGGTGGTGGTGGTTGCCTGCGGTGCTACCGGGGGTTGCCAGAAAACAGTCGCAGGTGTGGGTGCTGCAGTGGCAGGTGGACGTTGTGCTGGTGCAGGTGCAGGGGCTGTAGTCTGCCAGGCTTGCCGCCAGACAGGAGACCCTGCGCCGCCGTCCGACACCGATGTCCAGGAGGGAAACGAAGTTTGGCCGGGAGTGGAGCCATAGTATACGGTCTTCACCTCCAGTCCCGACTGATCCCCGGGGAACAGATCGAACACGGACGACGGCTGAAGCGGGCGACGCGGTCGCTGCGGCCGCTGCGATTGTCCACTGACGTGAATCTCGTAGAAGCGATTGTAGAAGCTATTGGGGGGCCCATCTGGAAAGCAATGATCGTGAGTCATACGTTGGCCTGAGCCCACCAGCGGTGCGCAGATTACTCACATTCGCTGGCCGAACAAAGCAGAAGATCGTTGTAGGAGAGGCGCGACAGCTTGGGCAGTAGCCCGCTGGATGGGTCGGGGCGGAGGCTGATTCGAAATTTCGCAGGTCCACCAGTGGAGCGGACAGACGCCTCATCGGGATAGGGTCGCAGGGTGCCAACGGAAGCGGGCTGTGGAATGCGAAGCAGGCAAAGCAATCAGTCGGCGATTCAGGTGGAGAGACGGCTAAAGCAATCCACCATACATCTTGATCCCCCCGCTGGGTGAGGCGCACGTCGATGCGATTGCGGCCCCGCTGCACGCTCGGCAGGGTCACCTCCCCCTGGAGGCCTTCGAAGCCATCGTTCACGTACTGGAAGTAGTCGGAGCATGCGTTCTCCGGCAGAAGCTGACACCTGGCCAATGCCACAATTAACGTCACAATTATGGCTAATTTCAGCCCCATACCTTTCCGGAATCTATCGACTTCAGTTCAGTTCGGATCGGATCGGTTTGCCCACTGCGCACGCGACAAGCGTCGATGGATAAATAAAACAGCCCCAGCATCGGCATCGGCATCAGAATCAGCCACAGCAGCAGCTCCCGTTCCCGCTCTCGGGACGGGTTGTTGAGTCACGTCACTCAGCAAACTGGAAATTCCGCATCGTGTAGAGCCAATAAGACACACAACAAACGACGCGCTGGAACGGCCCGACCGAATTGATACCCGCCATCCCGATTAGCATTTCATAACACATTAAAATATCGCCATGGGAAGCATAAATTTGTTGAACTTTCGAACTGCGAGTAGCACATAAAATTCATTCAGAAATGGCAGTCGGAGTGTTACAAGTTCTGCAGGAATCCCATGGACCCCTGCTGCACCCCTTGCCAACCAAACCGTTCAGAGCGCCTGCTCTTGAGTGCCTGTAAAAAATCCCCCCGCACATAATAAACGTGGGAATTGCTATACAAACAAAAACCCATCTGCGTATTGTTTATTGGACGAGCACAGCGCATAACATCTCTCATCGCTCATATATTTTGTAACTGATCTAACTACACTTTGACTTCACTTGGGAGTATTTCTATTGGGGAATTTACATACTATACTCACTCACACATTCATCTCTCACTCCGCAGCAGTTCTAGTGCACTATGTTGCTCTCGATCCATGTGAGGTGCTTGGCAATGTCACAGTAGATTACATATTGAGTCAGATCGCATATCAATCCCTTCTTTGGCGCCAGGGCGACGATGCCCCTGATTGTCCAGCGTCCGTTGCGCATGATCATCAGACCGCCACCAGAGTCGCCCAGGCAGGGGCCGTGGGCATTGCTGTTGCCGGCACACATGGTGTTGGGTGTGATGAAGTCCTCTGCTCGGCTCATTTCCTTCAGACACCTCTCACGGGTTATTACGCGGACATTGACGGCCTTGGGGTAACGCGTCTCGACGGCATTTTCGTCTAGGCCCCAGCCCGCCACCGTGCCCACGTCGCCCTCATTCGCTGGCAGTCCCATGCGCGCTGTCCACAGGCAGATGGGTCGCACGTAGTTAGTGTAGACAATCGCAGTGTCGAGCACGACGAGGCCCACATCCGAGTCGGGAATTGGGTTGCCGTCGTACTGCGCTGGCGTGATCGTACGTGATGCGCGGATAAGGGTGGCTCCGGGCTCGGGATGCGTGTTGCGATCATGACGTCCCACATAGGCCCAAATGTCCAGGGCTTTCTTGCCGTGGATGCAGTGAGCTGCCGTCATCACCGTACGCTTGGAAACCACCGACACCACGCAGGTGTACTTCAGCGTTGGGCCGTTGTCTTCATAGAGGGCGCCCAGCCAGGGGAATCGCCCCTTGGCTATAATCTCGCCTCCGGCCTGGGCAGGCGCGAAACCTTCCACGCCACACTCCGACAGATCGGGCTCGATCCGTGGAGCAACTGTAGCCTGCGTGCGTGTTCTCGCTCTATTAAGGAAGGGATTGCTGGCAGTGCTGGCAGCGGGCGGTGGCTCCACATGAGCCGTTCTTGATCCGCTGCTGCTCGAGACAGATGCCGTCCAGCCGCGTGTCATTGTACTCGAGGGGGCATCATCTGTGTGGCAGAAAAGAAACACGGATCAGCATATAGCATATGCACAGCCATTATTACTACTCACAATCTGAGGCACTGCAATAGACGTGACCATTGAGCTCCACCTTGATTAGCTTGGGCAGCTCGTTGCCGTAGTTCTGGAATTTCACAAAGGCCTCGCCCCGCCCTCCACTCCGCATCTTTTCGAACGCCGTCTCTTTGTCGGGATAGCCCCCCATGCTGCTCACAGTGTGCGCCTACGGAATGAAATCGTTCAGCCTGTGATTCTGATGCTGTGCTTGATCTGTGCCTACCTGATCAGTGCCGTGTGCCGTGAACATCACGGTCCAGTCGAGACTCGTGAGGCCGTCCTGGAGGGGCGTGAAAACACCAATGAGTGAGCCATCCGGTCGACGGTAATAGCTGAACAGATCCCCGCAATTGTGGGACGGAACCGTCTGGGACAAGGCCGTTTTCAGACACAGGCCAAGACAAAGAATCAGCAGGGGCACCGATGCGATTGCCATTACGAGAACCGATGTTGATTAGGGTACAGCGAGTACTGACTCTGAAGCTGTTGGCTGCACTTACAAAACGACAAACGCGACTAACACTCGAACTCGAGCTCAAACGCTGCACTCTCCATCAGATCTATCAGATAGGGAAGTTATTTACACACTAGTCTCTCTCTCTCTCTAGCGTTTCTTAGCTCTCTAGAGGCTGTAGAACTGCTCGCCGCTTGCCCGTTTGCCCGCTTGGCAGCGGGCTTTGCCCATAACTCATGCTCAAACACTCAAATACCAGCGAGGGGTCAATTTTATTTATATATTCTTATTCAATCAGCTTATCAGGAAAGCTCCGGGCGGGCGAATTGGTTCCACAACTGGTTACCCCTGGAAATCGAATTCGAAATGGGTGCCATCCCGCTCTGCGAATACGTCAGAATTGACAGCTGTTTTCCCCTATATTCTCTCGCCGATCTGCATGAACAAGACCTACATATGAGGCCCAGTCCAGCCCGAACACTAAACCAAGCTCGGTGATATTTTTAAAACAGTGGCGAACGTAGGCATTGGCACAACATAAACAAACGATTATAAGCGGAATAATTTCAGTGGCATATGCGCAAGTGCAGAATCCAAGCCGCAGCAATATTCAAAACTAACAATAACATAATTGAAAATTATATTTTAAACTCGCATAATTATTGATAAACGTCTAGTCTGGTGGTCTCCAACATGCTGGGAAATTAAACTGGCAGCCAGACTGCTACATTTCTGGGAACTTTGTTAACTTTGCAAGCCCTTAGCAAGCCTAAAAAATTCACAAAAATAAGTATATTTATATTTAAATGAAATGAGCAGCAAATATATAACTTATTAAATGTGTAGTATAGTGTATGTGACTGTGGGCCAGTAGGATTTATTTTTTGAAGCACTCCCCTTCGCTTGTCCCTCTCTATTTTTCAGACAATTTTTAGAAGAAAACTTTGGGCCCTTTCAGGCATGGCTGGGGCAACTTTTAATAACATAATGCAAGGCGGTTTATGCGAATGTCTATTGAAAATGATGCTCGTGTAGGAGTACTGCTGTAAGTAGCGGCAACGCATTCGGCAGCCGCCAGCCAGGAAACTTTTGACAGCGAAACAAAAAAAAAGTAAAACCAGGAGGAGGAAAAGTGCCTTCGATCTGACATCCCAAAACACTCTTAAAACTCAATTTTCACTGGCAGGGTTTCTCCAGTTTACCTTCTTGTTGTTCGCAACTTTTATAATCAGTTCCAAGTTTGCAAAGCTTTGTAATAATTTGTTGAGATTTGGCGCAAAATGTTCGCGGCAAATAAAATTATAAATGGCGGGTCCCGGCTGCGCCTCAACTTTGGCAGTTTGACGGAGGCATTTTGACACCCACTCGACGGCTGGCTGGCACATTCCCCGGCAACATTGAGGTGTGCAGTGCTTCCGGGCACTGGCTGTGGCTGGGGCTGGAAGTGCGTCCGACTGCACTTGATGTGGGCCGCCACTCGCCTAATTGGAGCGAACGCTGCCAGGAAGTCGGGCGGCAGGCGGCACTTCAAATCAGAGTCGATTTAAATTAGGCAGCCACGAATCCACTCGACGAGAGCGTTTGTGTGTGGCCTCTAGAGTCGACGGAGCACACCGTACGTATCGCAGGTGCAGATTCCACGATACCGCGAAAACACGAACAGGAAGGGCTCACCACAGGCCTTGAGGATTTGCAGCCTCTTGGCCTGCTTCAGTCCGCTGCGCAGCGAGGCCTCCAGCTCATCGTGCCAGCTGTTCTCGACGTTCTCCTCCACCAGCAGGGTGTGGAACACACCCAGCAACTGGAGACGACGCTCCATCTCAATGGTTCGCACCAGCGCCAGCATTTGAATGAACGGCCGGAACTTTATCCAGCGCTGGCAATCTTTCAACTGCACATCCTTGCCCACATCGATGATCATCAGCTTGCACTCGTGGTCGAGCAGGTCCTCGAGCATTTTCTTCTCCATGGGCAGCACGAAACAGCTCCGCTGCTCGGAAGTCGCCCCGAGGCTCAGCTCGTGCTTGGGCGTCTGCATGGTCCAGGGATACTTGCGGTTGGCGAACTCGTAGGCCAGCTTTTGGCGGCGCTCCTGCTCGGTCCGCAGATGGTCCACGTTCTTGTCGACGCTCCGGATGGCCTCCGAGCCGCGTTGCTCGAAATCTTCACTGGCAGCATCCTGCCTTGCCTTGGTCTCTGCATTTGTCGCCAGCTCTGCCTCCTCCTCGGCGGCTTCCTGTCGCTTGGCGGCCCCACAGCAGCGCATCTCGTGGGGCATCACGTAGTTCGGATATCCCGCCTGCGCCAGGTAGGAGTGGAAGTGCAGCAAATTGAAGGGTTGGCGGGGCACATAAAAGGCAGCTGGCTTGCTCTCAATGTGGCACTTATTCTCCTCCAACAGCTGCGGCCACAGGTCATCCCAGAAGGAGCTGCCCATTGTTTGCTTCGAGTGGTCTTTACGGTTTGTCTCCATTTCGGGCACTTGGAATTTCTATTGTAATTTTGAGGGATCAAATGTTTACGATATGTGTCTAGCTTGACAGTGGGATTTCGTTTGATTTTAGTGCTACTTATGTTTTGACATCTGTCTCCTTTTTGGCAGGTGTACACCGAGAAAACTTCAAGGGGTAATGGGAATCACACGAGAAGACAAAATTCGTATGTGGGTTTCATGCCAGCATTTTTGACTTTTCATGGATTCAGACATGTGGTTTAGGGCTTGTATTTTTATGCTAATTCTCTCAGTGTATGCCCCAGAATTCCGTTTTTTTATCAGCGCATAAATCCGTTGCCTGGCCACACGGTTCTTCTTCTCATGTGTTTCTGTTTGTACTTTTGCTCGATTTATGCACACTCACAGGCCATAGCGGTAAGCAAGCATCAGGCATCTCTACGTCGACATCGGGGCTTGGAATCAGCAGCAACAACAATTTGCGTAAATTTTATGACATTCCCTGTCCGTAGGTAGTCGTCGATCGGCATCATTTAATGGTCTGAGACAAGTACGAACGGAATAGCTTTTGTATCGACTGTAGAATATCCATGACTTGAACGAAAAGAAACTTCTCAATTTTGAATTGCACCTATGCCATTTCAAACATTATTTAACACTTAAATTAGAAGAATTCAACAGCCGGAAAAGTACTAAGTATAATTTATTTGGCACATAAATAATATACCCCGTACTCTCTATGTACTGGGGGCCACAGATTGTTTCGTGCTTGATTTGATGAAAGAGTGCAGACGCAACAAGATGGCCCCGATATTCATTATGCTCGTTTACGTGTGTTAGATATATATTCTGTGGTGTGCGAGTGCTGGAGATGGCTGGGACAACGGCGACGAGTTTTCGGGCTCATTAGCTTTTATGGCTTTGATTTTATTGCCGCTGCCGTGCCAGACTTTAATTTCGCCAACGAAATTGTTGCCTATCGCCGGGCGCCTGCACTAATCAAATGGAAAATTCGTATCCGTGTGTGTGTGTAAGAGTGTGGATATGTTTGAGGTGTGTGTGTGTGTGCTGGGTCTTCTGCATGTGTGCAATAAATTTTCATAAATCAATTGTGCGTGCCAGTTGGCAGCACAGAAGAAACGCAACCCAAAAAAAAAAGGTTGAAATTTAGATTTATGCACACACACAAAAAAATGAGTGACGAATGTTTTTTTTTTACGCCCTGATGTTTGGCAACTTATCGCAAATTTGATTTGGCAAAAAAAAAACCGTCTACCTCAAACTCTGTTGCGGTGTGAAAATTGAAGCAGCAGAGGCACACGTTTTAATATATTTTCAAGGCTCCACTTCTCGCATGTGGCAGGATGCGAATGCGGCCTCGAAGAATGTATGGCATCAGTGCTCAGTGGCAGCTGCGCTCCCAGGTCCGCCATCGAGATATCAAAGTGAAATTTTAAGCTTTCTTCTCGGGCATATAAAAACTTTAAGTGACCAAAAGCTGAGGCCCTCAAAAATGTTGGCTCTTCGGCTCTCTTTTTGGTCTATTCGACAACTTTTTGTCGTACTCTGGCTGCAAGCATCACAAAAACGCTGCTGTACTTTATATGTACACTATGTATGTACATGTACGTATGTACACATGATGTACATAAATGTGTATGTGCATATTTATTGTGTTTTATTGGGACACTTAAATAACGACACAGTCAACAGACTCACAGAAAACAGCGCGACCACAAAAACCAAAAGAATGAAAATGTTGAGAGTAAAAATAAGCCATGGGAAAAAGCGAGACTAGCAACAGAACAAAAAATGGAACAGAAACAAGTGAGGGCAGCCGAGACGCTTATTGACATAAAAGCCAATCATTTTGGAATGGCTTTAAGCATTCGACAAATGGAGAGCAGCCACCCAACATCAAACGAAAAAAAAATAAACAAAACTGTAACTTGGCAAATCGGGGAGAGTGTTCTAAGGGACATTACGACTAGGGGATACCTGCTGTGCAGCAGTGAAGTTGCACGAACTTCTGGTTGCTCAATGGGGCCAAAGAAATTTTATTTGCTGACAGAAATTTCAATTATGTGTAATTTTACAAAACTTGCCTAACATTGTGTATTAATTTTGACCGACTTCTATCTGAGCATCAAAGATGTATACATGAAAGAAGCGGCAGCTGTAAAGTTACCCAGGAAGTACAGATGGCAGAACCGAAGAATATGGAACATAAGAAACGCATATTTCTATATGCACGTTACATCTACACGATTACAATATACCCTGGAACGCAACGACGAGCAACGGGTAAGCCAAGTTGAGCCCGAACTTTATTCGGTTATGTATTTGACTTGGCAAGCCGCAGAAGCAGCAGCAGCAGGCAGGAGTAGCAGCAGCAGCAGCAGCAGAACAGCCAGCCGCAGCAACCAGTGAATGCACTTTGAACTCGTGTCGAGGTTCGAGGTTCACTGCATAAATAATCAAAAGGTAGTATTTTTGCATGTAAAATGTTCCTTCGAATTTTTTTCGCACCAAAACCAAAGTCCCATTTCGAATGCATAAACTTCAGGGCGGGCAAGTCACAGGGCGACTTGGAGCTAGGCCAGTGCTGCTTGACTATTGAATATCCATCAAATTATCGCTGAGGCTGGAGACTCATGATTGATGTACCCGATGCCCTGCCATCAATCATCAATTCGCGTATTCGAGTGCAATGTTCTCGTATGCTGCGCTCTGCGAGTACATAAATCAGAGCCCCAGTCAAGTGCACACAATTACGCCCAGGCAATCACACTCACACACAGCTCTACATCTTGAACTGCACTGAGAAGAAATAGTTGTAACATTAAAAATTACTTTGATTATTAAAAATTAGTTTCCTACTTTTATATTACTTTTAAGGTCTGCTTTCTACCATTTTCCAGCTGTCTGGAATTTTTGCAGCACAAAGGATGCAGACATTTATTTACCGGAACATACATATATATTCTTGTATATATTGTGTACCCAACCAATGTCGAGTTTGTGAGTGGCTTGTCAGATTGGTGAATTCTCTTTGTATGCAACTCCTGCTGGCAATTAAAGGTGCTGTCCGAAACGCTTCAAAAAATTCTGCGGTTTTGCGGAACTTCCAATTTGTTGGTGGTTTTATTCCTTATCTTTTCTAGATTTCAACATTGCTGAGTGGTCTGGTACCTTTTCGTTTCTTGTGCGGGAACATTGATTAAATTTATTAAAATATTCCTGCCTGGAATTGTAAAGGCTTTTGAGTGGACCCATCTGCAGGCAATTTGTCGGAGAGAAATCTTCGCTTCATGAATCATAGTTGGGGTCGAGTCGAGTCGAGCTATGGGCATTGATAAATAAGTGCAGGCCTAAGCGCCAGCTTAAATATTCAATTCCTGTTTATTCGGGTCCCAGAAATGGGCATCGGGTGTGCGGCCATAAAGCATACATGGATGGCCTCCCCATCTGCGTGGGCAGCGAAGGCCAAAGGCTGACACGCATGAAAATCTCTCATGTACCCACAGTCAGAGTGTGTGGGTGTGATTTCCCTACGAGAGACACACACACAGAGAGAGGCCCGAAGGTAGACCTGGCATCTTTGTCCATAGTTCAAGGCCAGGAATCCATAAGGAAAACAAAGGCAACGGACAAAGAGATGGCTCACAGGCACCGCCAGAGATGGTCTTGAAGCAGGACCCAGACCCGTAGCCGGACAGGCCTACAAATGAGTCTGCCACCTTGAATAACAAAGCGAGTGCGGCGGCACGCACCACGGCCGGACCAGCACCACTGATTGTGGGCGTGATGAATTTCTGGCTGGCTTGGCATTAATTCCATTTAATTATTATGACACTCGAGGGCAATGCGAACAGCTCGCCGTAATAATAATCGCGACCGGAGAACAGATTACCAACACCTCGGGTGTCAAGAGCAGACCCCGAACCCCCAAACCCATCTCAGTCGTACTTACGTTCTGCAGCTCTGCTTTATTCTAATGTTCCAGGTCGGCGGAAGCGATTTGCGAATCAGCAGTGGGCACATTTGTCATTCGCCATGTGGCTCGGCCGTGAGTCGAATGTGCAACGTGTGGCGCAAAAGTTTTCCCGCAAGCAGCACAGTAAAGTTGCGTAAAGTTTTCCTGTGGAGTTGGGCAAAAGTCGAGTGTTGGTCCTGGTCCTGGTGCTACCAACGCCAGCACAACATCGCTTTCACGCTTGCCCTGCCAAGTGAAAACAATTTGCGCATTTTGTCCGCCCCAAGACGCCTGGCATCGACTCGCATCGCTTCCTTCTTGGTCGAGTTCTTGTCTTCAGAAGCGAGTATCTTGCATGCCTGCAGGCATTCCCTTCTTGTCCTTGTCCTGCACTTGACATTCAATTTTCGCTTTAAGCCATCTACTCGTAATGTATGCCATCCAAATTGGAATTCAGTAAGCTTCCTTTTGTGGTTGGCCCACAACGGCGCTGCAGCCCGTGCAGGACCTCTCTTAATGAGCCTCATGGACATGCGTTTGACTGCTTTGATGGGGCTGGTCTCATTTGGTGCTGGCTGCTTGAAGCTGCCTGAAGTTTGGCCAGTCGCTGCAGCTTGTGCTTGGGCTTAAAGTCGGAACAGAACCAAACATTCTGATAATCATGAACCCCCGCATGCCCCCTTGGGGCACAACATATTGCATATTTAAATAGAAATTCCCGCCTGGTCATAATTTGAAAAACAAATTCCAGTTTGCAGCATTGTTTTGCGGTCGCCCAGGGTCCAAGCATGTGCTCTCTCCTTCTCATCTCGTTCCCACTCCCAGTGTGTGCATATATGTGTGTGTGTGTGGTCGTAAATCAATATTTAACCCGTATACCCCCATACGTTAGGTCCATGTGCTCTGGAGGCTACCGTCAGCAGCCAGCGTTTAAAAATAAAAACCCAAACTCATTCAACTCGTTCAACGACTCAATAAATGTTGCAAATGCGCTCGTTGTGGCACTCGCTGAGCGCAGGAGAAGCCGCAGAGAAACGGAGAGAGACAGAGATAGAGAAAAGGAAAGACAGAGTGGCGACTAGAGATAGATGCTGCCAAGGTATATCAAATAGAAGGCAAGCCAGTGTCGCTTTCACGCATAT